ATGGCATCACAGCTCACAGCAACCTCCAACTCCTGGGCTTAGGTGATTCTCTTGCCTCAGCCTCCTGAGTAGCTAGGACCACAGGCACCCGCCACAATGCCCAGCTATTTTTTGGTTGCAGCCATTGTTTGGCGGGCCCAGGCTGGATTTGAACCCGCCACCTTAGGTGTATGTGACTGGCGCCTTAGCCACTTGAGCCACAGGCGCTGAGCTAGGAATCTTAATTTTTAAAATAATTTTTATTTTTAAGTATTAGGGAGTACAAGTGCTATTGTTACATGGATGACCTGTATCATGCTGAAGTCAGGGCTTTTAGTGTGCCTTTCACCAGAATAGTGTATACCGTACCTGACAGGAAGTTTTTATCTCTCGTTCCTCTCCCACCCTCCTCCCTGCTTCGTTTCCAGGATCCTTTACACCACCATGTGACTGTGTGTACCCATCATTCAGCTTCCACTTACCAGTGGCAGCATGTAGTAGTTGTTTTTCCATTCCTGAGATACAGCACTTAAGATAATGTTCTCTGGTTCCATCCAAGTTGCTGCAAATGACACAATTCCATTCCTTTTCATGGCTGAGTAGTACTCCATGGTACATATATGTGTACATATATACCTGTGTACCCATACCACATTTTCTTATCCATTTATCAAATGAAGGGCAGTTTGGTTGATAAAGGAATCTTTTAGAGAGGCAATTTTTGATTCATTTAGTCTTTTAGAGGCTTCTTTTTGCCAATCAAAAATATATCCCCCTGGTTTTTTTTTGAGGGGGGGGAGACAGAGTCTCACTCTGTTTTCCTCGGTAGAGTGCCATGGCATCATAGCTTACAGCAACTTCAAACTCTTGAACTCAAGCAATCCCCTTGCCTCAGCCTACCAAGTAGCTGGGACCATAAGGCCACCACAGTGCCCAGTTTGTTTTAGAGACAGGGTCTTGCTCTTGCTCAGGCTGGTCTCAAACTCATGAGTTCAGGCTGTCCACCTGCCTTGGCCTCCCACAGTGCTAAGATTATAGGCGTGAGCCACTGCTCCCCACCTATCCCATTGTTTTGAGGCATTAGGGATCTCTTTTCTTTTTTTCCCATGTGCCTCATAGATGAGCATTTTTTTTTTTTTTTAGGTTAAAACTTCCCCATTGTGGCCACCAAAATTCTAAATTACTTTGGTAAGGTCTACCCATTTCTCTAGAAAAGGACAGTTTCCAACAGACCTGGTCTCCTTGGATTCGGAGGAACCCATTATTTCCCCTCTTCTCGTAACCTTACCTACTGGACATCTCCCTATATTTCTGTGGTCACTTTTCAACCCAGCCTGGGTAAAAGTGCTCAAATTGGGAAAACTTGACACAGATTGTGGATCTCGAATCCAAGAGGGACTTAATGGTGGTGACTTTGAAATGCTTAGCAATAAGCAGTGATGCAGGAACTCCATATAGCACCTATACTTGTTTATGCATTGCTCCCATAAGTTATTGAGGGGTTTCCTTTAGATCCTACTTCTAACACCAGCTCCGTTAAAAGAAAAATTTTACACAAATAAATTTAACTGAGTTTGTTTAGCAAAGAATGATTTATGGATAATGCAGCACTAACAAACAGAGAGGCTTCAGAGAGCTCCACTATGCAGTGTTGGCAGTGAATATTCATCCGCAGAAGCACAATACAGAAAAAGCTTCATTGATTACAGCTAGGTGTTTGCCTTATTTGGACATGGTATGATCATTTGGCTGCCTGTGATTGGCTGAAACTTGACTGTGATTGGCTGAGATCTAGCTAATTATTACCAAAAATATATATTCCTAAGTTGGGTTAGGTTTTGGTATGTTAGGTTACAGTTTGTTACGTGGGCACTCTCAGACAGCTTCAGGTCAAATTTAATTCAACACAGTGTAGTATTTTTCTTTTTTAATATGTAGTTAGATAAATAGGGATACATATCATCTATGAGCTATAATATAGTTTAATATTTTTTGTGTATACATATCTTTTATTTTCTACTACCTAAATAGTAAATAGCTTGAAATAGATATAGTTTTTTAAAAATGCTTTTTTTTCTATAGCTTTCCATCTTGTGTACAATAGTAAACTCATAGTAAGTGCTCTAGTAATACTCAGTGGTTTCAGTTGAATTTTTATCGGTTCATACTCAATTCTAGTCATATACTCATTAAGTCTGGAATTAGAAGGAATTAAGTACTGGAAAAGTTGCTAATTCAGATGTTCATGAAGTGACTTCATTTTTGGTATATAATTTTGTGATAATATTACATCTAAATGTGTATCTGTATTAAAAGCATAGAGTTACACACTGTATAGTGACATTTTGGTCAATGATGGACAATATCTATGAAAATAGTCCCATAAGTTTATAATATTGTAGTTTTACTGTACCTTTTCTATGTTTAGATACACAAATACCATGGTGATACAGTTGCTGTATGGCCAGTGTGTTCCACCTTTATTCTGCTGTACATTGGAAGAATAAGAGTTGTCTTGGGCCACACAGTAAAAACACAAACACCAACAAAAGCTGATTAGCAAAAAACAGCTGTGCATATTTCCTGTGATATCCGATACCACAGATAAGGTTGGACACCCCTGCTTACAGGTTTGTAGTCTAGGAGCAACAGGCTATAGAGTTTGCCTAGGCATATAGTAGGCTATACCATTTAGGTTAACATGCGTATGCGCTATGATGTTTGCATAATAGCAAAATAGCCTAATAACATTTTTCAGAGCGTATCCCCATCTTTAAGTGACCCACAACTATGTATTTGAAAGTAGGTGGAAATATATGAATTTCAAAGCAGAAAAGATAGATGATTTAAAAGTTTTTATTTTATTTTGAATTTACTGCTTAAGTATTATAGTTAAGCTTCTTGCTAATAATAGAAAACAAGATTTTTGGATGTTTATAATTTTAAACTATTTTTTTATCTTATTTTTCTTTTTTAAAGATAACTGTGACTTGGAAGCTGCATCCGAATTAGGAGAAGATTTATTAAAGCTTTATATGAAAACTTGTTGCCCAGACGTTGATATTTTTGTCGATGGAAAATGTTTTAAAGCTCACAGGTAAAGAGACATGTAATTGATTGGGTGTCCTAGTGTAATGCTGTGTAGAAGGGTGGCTGTCTTTTTTTAACACAGTGGTTTTCAAGCCCTGATTCACATAGGCCACAGAGGTTTCATGATTCCTGAAGGGGTCTCTGGCAGGGAAGAAGGTGGCCATCAGGCAAGGGTTTCCTGGCTGTAGGCTCACAGGCGCATACATGGGATCACCCAGACATTTGAGTGTTTCAGCCAGAGCAGCCCTCCTCTCATCTCTGCTTTGCATTGGGTATGAACCTAAGATTTCATTAGAAGAAAATGTTCTGCTGCCTAAAATAGGTCTGAAAGCCACTGTCACAGAAAATGTAGTTAAATGCAGTTTTTAATTTTATAGGCATTAAACTATTGAGAAGTATTATTTCTACATGAATAACATGTATTTTTCTCTGAATGCATTTTGGCTTAAAATCTGTGATTCGAAATAGATGATACTCATGAATAACATTGATTAGGTTGAATGTTGTCATGTACTTTTCAAAAACCATTGTTCTCCTTCAATATTGGATTGCTTAGACAGACTTTCAGATTTCAAATTAAAGCCTGCTGCCTGTTTTGGTCAGGCTCTTTGGATTGCACACAACTAAAATCTGCTTAAAATAAGAAAAAGAATTAATAAGAAATGTATATTATCTTTTGAAACTCAAGGGAATTACAGCAAGCTCTTGCTATGGACTGGAAACACAACCAGAAAACTGGCGAACCCAGATAATTCTTCCACCCTGTCTTCGAGTTTCAAATAGAATGTTGATAAGTTATTCTGGTATTCCTCAAGAGAAAGAACCAGATTATTTGCAGTGGCAAGAAGCTGTCTTCTAGGTTCAAGAGTGTATTTCCCTTAATGAAATTAGCAGTAGGTTTAAATGACAGGAATTCTTCAAGCCAAACAGTGGTGATATTTGTGCTCTCAGATAGCACGCAGGTTTTAAAATTTAATTGGCAGTAGGACATTGCCAAATCCTAGGATGGACAGTTTGAATCAGACCGTTTACTATTCAAAATTTGAAACTGTTCTCTCTGGGAACATATATTTTGTAACTATAAATATACACATTCCTAACTGTTACAAAATTTGTGTTAAGTATGGTAAAATTCAGGATGTAATACAGATTACCACATTTTCCACATCGTAGGTATATATTTCCTAAGTCATGGTATGTGTCTACCTGCCTTTCTCTTCCTTCTTTCCTTCCTTCCTTTTTTTTCTGTGCTTTCTTTCTCTCCTTTCTTCCTTCCATCTTTCCTTCCTTCTTTCTTTTTTTGGCTGAGTCAATTTTATTTTAAAAACTATTTTTTTTTTTTTTTAAATTCTGTGTCCAGGTTTTTCTTGAGACCATACCAAAGTTCTTCTCATAAAGCCCTAAAGCTATTGTTGTCACACAGGGGAGGCAGAACCCTGTGACATTTGCAACATGTTCTCAGACAGTGTCTGTATTTGACCTCTCCCTTTGCACTGCCTGACAGTGAGTGGACTAACAGGAATGTTTTAGGAGCTGGACGTAGAATATTAGGTTTGTATTCCAGGACAGCTCTTGCTCACATTTCTGGTTTATTTTGTTTCATAAAAATGAATTTATATTAACTGGACATGAGGATCTATTTCAAGTTTTAGGTTTTCTTACTTTGTTGGCCTTATATAAGTTGGAATAACAAATTCTAACCTATGTTACCTTTCCAGTCCAGAGATAAACATCCCTCTGTTTGGTACTTACTAATTTTATTATATGGTTCAAAGAATATTATGTCAGCAGTTAAAAAAACTTATATTTATGTGAAGCCCACATACTCATCTAAAGCCCAATACAGGAACATTCTAAGTTACTTCATGATTAGTGTCAACATTTCTTCTAGTAGATTTTTAAAATCCATTTGTAGTTTGGATGCTTCAGAGTTTTGTTCTTTTCCTTTTTTTGCGACAAAGTCTTACTACTCTGTCACCCTGGGTAGAGTGCTGTGGCATCATAGCTCACAGCAACCTCAAACTCTTGGGCTCCAGTGATCTTCTTGCCTCAGCCTCCCAAAAAGCTGGAACTATAGGCCTCCCCACCCCTCAACCACTGGCTAATTTTTCTATTTTTAGTAGAGATAGGGTCTCACTCTTGCTTAGGCTGGTCTTGAACTAAGCTCAAGTGATCCACCCTCCTCAGCCACCCAGAGTACTTGTATTACAGGAGTGGGCCACTGTGCCTGGCCTTATTTTTTTAAATTATATTGAAGAACACAAAGGACCAGGATTTATAATCAGAATTATATTCTGCTTAGGTCTCAATGTTTAAACCAGTTTAGCTTGCTAGTTCAGGATGTTCAGATGGATTTGGTATTCTATTGAGTTAATTTTTCTCTCTTGCTCAAGTCACTTCCTTAAAAACGTCCCTGATAAAAGTTCTTCCAAGATTATCTCTAATTATTCTGTCTATTCTTCTCCTGTAATCCTCTGCCTGGAGCACTTTCTATGCTGAAAGGGTAGTCTGATGCCCGTCTCTTGCTTGTGAGTCTCTCTTGTGGCATAGCTAAGCCAAAGAAATGATCTCAACAGAGTGGTTAAGAGTATATGGACTGTGAAGCCAGTCTGCCTAGGTTTTAATTCTAACTCCACCATCATTAGTTGTGTGAGTTTGGACAAGTCATTTAACATTCATTCTGTGCTTCAGCGTCTTCATCAAAGATGGGGTTTATGATAGTACCCATCTCAGGGTGATTCTGAGGATTAATTACAGCCATGTACCACCTAACCATGTTTTGGTCAATGACGGACTGTGTATAGGATGGTGATGATGTAAAATTATAATAGAGCTGAAAAATTCCTGTCACCTAGTGGCACTTATAACTGTCATAATGTCATAGCACAATCCATTATTACCTTTGCTATATTTAGACATGTTTAGATATGCAAAAACTAGTGTGTCACAGTTGCCACCACAATATTCAGTACAGTGATGTGCTGTATAGGTTTGTAGCCAAGAAGAAAGAGGCTGTACCGTGTAGCCTAGGTATACCATCTAAGGTTTGTGTAAGCATACTCTGTGATGTTTGCGTAAGATGGAATCATCTAACACACATTTCTCAGAATGTATCCCTGTTGGTAAGTGATGCATAACTATTACATTTAAACTATTTCTTTTTTTTTTTTTTTTTTTTTTTTTTAGACAGAGCCTCAAGCTGTCCCCCTGGGTAGAGTGTCGTGGCATTACAGCTCACAGCAACCTCCAACTCCTGGGCTCAAGCGAGTCTCCTGCCTCCGCCTCCCAAGTAGCTGGGACCACAGGCGCCCGCCACAACGCCCGGCTATTTTTTGGTTGCAGCCATCATTGTTGTTTGGCGGGTCCGGGCTGGGGATTCGAACCCGCCACCTTAGGCGTACGTGGCTGGTGCCTTAGCCGGTTGAGCTATAGGTGCCGAGCCCATTTAAACTATTTCAACCCAAACTTGTCACATATTAAGTATTGTAGGTTTTTGCTATTATCATCTAGCTTAGTACCTGGTACATATTAAGCTTTCAAAAGGTACTGTTAGGACCAGGCCCAGTGGCTCCTGCCTGTAATCCTAGTACTCTGGGAGGCCGATGCAGGTGGATTACCTGAGCTCAGGAGTTCAAGACCAGCTTTAGCAAAAGCAAGACCCCTGTTTTTAATAAAAATAGAAAAAAATTAGCCTGGTATGGCAGGTGCCTGTAGTCCCAGCTCCTCAGGAGTCTGAGGCAAAGGGACCGCTTGAGCCCAAGAGTTTGAGGTTGCTGTAAGCTTTGATGACATCATGGCACTCTACCCAGGGTGACAGAGTAAGACTCTGACCCCCAAACAAAACAAAACAAAGATACTGTTAGTTACTATAAGTATTTATATGATATCTATAAGAGAGGCACAAAGTTGCCCATTCTACCTTGTTTTTAGAGCAAGTTTCAGCAAACTATGTCCCAAATCTGTTAAGTAGCCTGTTTTTGTATGAGACAACAAGAAACAGAAGAAGAGTATGCAATAGAGACCACAAAGCCTAAAATATTTACTCTCTGACCCTTTGCAGAAAATGTTTTCTATTCCCGGTCTTAATAGGATTTACAGGAAGGAAGTTTAAATGAAATAATTATAAGACCATATAATAAGTATACATTACTATGTAGTAAAATGATTTAATATTAATTAGTTGTAAGTGATAGTCAACCCTGTCTACTTCAGAGGTTCAAAATAATGATAAATTAGGTGTGGGACTATTAGAGGGAAATGAGATGAAACTCCAGCCTTAGGAAAGGCTGATTTTATGAAAGTTATAGTGAATGGGTGTTGCAAAATTCCCAAGAGAAACCTAACTTTCTTTTTATAAAGTCATGTTTCCTAAAGTATTTGCTGGGTGGTGCCTGTGGCACAAAAGGGCAGGGTGCCGGTCCCATATGCTGGAGGTGGTGAGTTCAAACCCAGCCCCGGCCAAAAAAAAAAAAAAAAAAAGAAAAAGAAAGAAAAACATGTTTAAAATATTTGCTAAGAAGTAAAATGGAGGATAAGACAACTCCAGCAAATTTGAATTCATTTCTGTAGGTTTAGCCCTTATTCACTTGTGTAGAACTAATACTCTTGGCGTAAGAATACTTAAACAATTAGTCCTGGCAAAAATTCCTTCTCTAGAGCTTCTCTGGGTAATGCAGACCATTATTCTGCTCCTTGTAGCGAATCTAGTTCAGCTAACATTAGGAAGTACTGAATAGCAGTGTGCAAAAGCAGGAAGGGGGAAATTAGGGCATCTTGAGAGAGCCAGAAGCAGCACTGTCAGTTGAAATTAAATTTAATCAAAAGGAGAAAATAGTTTTTGGCATGTTGTAAAATAAAAAATTTGGCAAAGATTCTCAATACACCAGGCCATCTACAGCATTATTTTTTAGCCTGAGGCACTGGTCCTAATAAGAATGTTTACTGAATATCTGTTTTAAAATCAAGGTAATTGTTAAAGCCTCAGATGCTGTTAATCTTACTCAGATG